GGTGGCCGGGAGCGGCCACTGCCCTCCAGTCTGGGCGACGGAGTGAGACTCCAGCTCAAAAACAAACAAAAAAAAGTAGTCTCAATTTATTTTTAAATAGTTCCAACTTGGCCAGGCATGGTGGCTCACGCCTGTCATCCCAGCACTTTTGGGAGGCTGAGGCTGGAGGATCACTTGAGCCCGGGAATTTGAGACCAGCCCGGGCAGCATAGCAAGACCCCATCTCTACAATAGATAAAAAAAATCAGCCCAGCATGGTGGCGCGTGCTTGTAGTCCCAGCTACGCGGGAGGCTGAGACAGGAGGATCGCCTGAGCCCAGCCGGTCGAGGCTGCAGTGAGCTGTGATTGTGCCACTGCCTCCGGTCTGGGCGACAGAGGGAGACCCCAACCCAAGACAGATAAACTGATGAAATAAAAAGCCTCCTCGCCCCCTTGAGAGCTGCGTACATCCCGTGGGGGGAGCCGCTGGTGGTGTCGCCTGGCACCCCTGGGCCGGCCCGTCTGCCGGACGCTCGGGCTCTGAGGCTCTCGTGCGATGTCGTGGCTCTTGTGATCTGTTGGGGCGCGTCGCCTCAGACGCTTCCCCTCCTGGGCTGCGTTGTAACGTGCCGCGAGTGGAAACTGAGTCTTCCCTTGAGTGGCCCGAAGGTTACTGCCAAGAAGGCAGTGAAAGAAAACAGTGTTCAGGGCCCTCGCCGTCGCCGCCTCCCTGCGGGTGGTGGAGGCCGCTGTGGGAGGCAGCAGCGCCCACTCAGGGCTCTCCCGAGAGACGCGACGCATTAGAGAGCCCGGGGTCTGGGGGCTGGCCCACGGCTCGGCCCCGGTTGGCTGTGCTCGTCCAGCTGAAACAAGTGCCTGCCTGCTCTGTGCCTCAGTTTCCCCGTGTGTACAACGGGGATTGTGTCGGCCCCGCCCCCAGCCTGGCGGGAAGGGCCACCTTTACGCTCCCTGAGCCCCTGCCTCTGGCTCTTCCGCTCTCCTGGGCTCCGACGTCGGTGTCCAGCCGCCGCCTGGATGCCTTTCAGCCAGGCTCTGGGTGCGAATCCCGTGGCCACCCCTTGCAGGGTGCCTCAGTCTCCCCACGTGTCCCACGAGGGGATTGGAACGTGTTATGGCCTTCCCGTCTCTCCAGGGTCCTCCAGGGCTGGCCGGTTCCCACGGGGGTTTCAGGTGCCGAACTTGGGGGACGCCTGCGTCCCAGGGTCTCCTGCCACCATTCCCGGTGGCCTGGGCCTAGGCGGGCTGACCCGGGGAGCTTGTGTCCACATGTGCGTGTGTGTGGCTGGGGGCACGCGGGCGCCCGGATGCTGCCGGGCCGGGTGGGGACGGCGTCCAGGGCCTGCGTGTCTTCCCCCCTGCCTCCTGCTCTCTCCAGCCGGCCGGGGGCCCGCGTGGGGCCTCCGTGGCCGGGCAGGGGTGGAGGCCCAGTGTGCGCGGCCCTGCGGGTCCCGGCCGTCTGCCCCGACCCAGCCCGCACCCCTGCTGTGTTCCCAGAACCCCCTAGGTTCGTCAAGGAGCCCAAGGACCAGATTGGCGTGTCAGGGGGCGTGGCCTCTTTCGTGTGCCAGGCCACGGGCGACCCCAAGCCACGGGTGACCTGGAACAAGAAAGGCAAGAAGGGCAACTCCCAGCGCTTCGAGGTGAGTCCTGGTCGCGGGAGGCAGCCTGGGGCCGGCGCTCCTGCAAGGCCGGGCCACGGCAGGCCGCCCCGGGCACGTTCTCCAGATGCGGCGTGGGCAGCGGTGGCCGGGTCAGCGTGGCGGAGCGCCTCTCCACGTGGGCCTTGCCTCACCCCCACCCTCTGGTGGCCGCCCCTGTGGCCCAGCGAGGCCCAGCCAGGCCCCCTGCTTGGCTGCGCTGTGCTGTGTGGCCTCGGGCAGCGCCACAACCTCTCTGAGTCTCGTCTTACACAGAAGGAAATTCCCTGCCGACTTGTGCACATTTTCAGACGGGCACACCTCACCCCCTGCCCTCCTCCCCCGCCGTGGAGGCCCGTCTCATGGGCTTCGTATGTGTCACTCGCACACGCGTGGCCGTCCCCTGGGTGGAGCCTCCGGGCCCGGCCTCACCCTGGCCCCCACCCCACAGACGATCGAGTTCGATGAGAGTGCGGGCGCCGTGCTGAGGATCCAGCCGCTGCGGACACCCCGTGATGAGAACGTGTATGAGTGCGTGGCCCAGAACCCCGTGGGGGAGATCACGGTCCACGCCAAGCTCACTGTCCTCCGAGGTACGGGCGGGCGGGCAGGGGCCTGGGCCCTGGACTGGGGGGCGGCCCCGTGCGTGAGTCCCGGCCACGACTTTGGACTCTTCGGGGCCTCGACCTCACGTCTCCAGCC